GGCAGCAAAATGTCACTATTCTCGTATCGGTCTAATTTCGCATATGGAAGTGTGCAATTGCTCGCTGACATTATCAAAATAATATAAAGTGGGAACTGCAAAACACAGAAGAACTCTTATGCCTTTACGTTTTATGGATTTCACATGCGGCGTGCAGTCAGCCGGTTCTGGTTGTTCTCAGATGCTTTTTATTTTGCTCATAATTGGCCTAGCAAGACTTAGCCATCATAAACAACATTTTTTAAAAAAACCTTGAAGACTGGGGACTTTTCTTTGGAAAGAGTACTAGTTGTTATCGTCAGAAATTTAGCCATCAGCTATGGGCCAAACATTTCTCACCAGATGCAGAAATTGTGGGCTGTTTGTACCTCGGTTGTAGTGGTCCACTTCTACCAAGCGCCATCGCCCTTCAAATCGTTCTAACCGCTAAAGTTTAACAAATTCAGATAAACGTCTGGAAAATTGCTTGATTGCTCGAACAGTTACTTGTGTGTAGGTGTCTTCAGTAGCTGTACTATTACTCTGCCACATTTCACTGAATTGTACACGGATCTCTGCGAAAGTCTCCGTAATTACGGCTATGAATACATTCTGAACTGCATATTGTTTTGTAGAAACATTAAAAAATATAGAAATAAGGTTTGGCTAACCTTGACTAGCCATGCTAGGAAGAAGATCAATGTGACAAAATAGAAGAATGCGACATATGATGGTAATGTGTCCAAACAATCATACAAAACGTAGACCCAACCCTCTTGGCTAGCTGCCAAATACACAGTGAAGAGCGAGGATGCTGCAAAGCATGAGGTTTCACTACTTAGATTGATACTGTCAGATAAGTTTTTTGGACTTCACGACATTTATGGTGACCTGCCTAATCGCTTTCTGATTGGTCAAACGTGGGACGGTGGGAACGGGCGTCACAGGTTCAGGGACATGCCCTCCCCTTTTTGCTCCGCCTTTCGACAGGGGTTTTGTAAAATTCAAAATTCATAGAATCTCACCGTCTCCATTTAACAAAATAA